TGGCTAAATACAAGGGGGAGATAAAAGCAGATTTCTTAAGAAAGTTAGATTTCCCCAGCTGGCCAACATGGTCCTGTAATTCTATATCCCAGACTCTTAACTTCACTGCCTTGATGGCGTCTGTCAGACCCACTGCTATAAGTGTAATGGGAGAAAAGCCAGTTTTTAATATCTCTTCAGTTATATGCTTCTTCCAGTCCGATTGAAAAGTATCTAGTAGCATCAGTGGGGCCAAGCCTTCCAATGAAAAAATACGTTTTAGCCAGTACTTTACCATAAGGACTTTGGTCCGCTCTTTAATGGATACTAATGTGACCTCTAAGCGAAAAGCCACATTGGAAGTACAAGGTGGAGCTCCCAGGATGGCTCTCGTAAATTTGGTCTGAACAATCTCCAAAGGTTGTAAGTTAGTGTACGTGAACAATTAAGAGCCATAAAGCATTTGTGAAGTAATACTGGCCTTTAAAACTTGTATCGCCGACAAAACATGTTTACACCCATCTGTATGGAGAAATCTAGTTAGTGGCATGGTATTTTTCTGGCACTCATTCTGGCACTTACATGTGTAAGCCAGGATCCTGATGAATGGAAGACTATGTCAAGATATTTGTAGCATGATACTTGCTCTATAGGGTGTCCATTTAGATACCATTTATGCTTTATTCTCCTTCTACTAACAACCATTATCTTGGTTTTGGCATAGTTAATTATTAGTTGTTCTTTATTGCAGTAGGAGGAGAAGGTTCTCAAAAGTCTTCTAAAGCCTACACACGTTCTTGACAATAAAACGGCACCATTAGCATAAAGTAGTATCGAAATTGGGTGAGAGGCAAGCTTAGGTTGATGAAAGTTGGGGTTACTCAAGTTTCCAATTAAGGCATTGATAATAGAAATTAAACAAAGTGGGGGCTAGTATGTATCCTTGTCTGACTCTGTTAAGCACAGGGATTTGGTTGGATAAGATCCCATCTGAGTTGCATAGAAACCGCAAGTATGTACTGTATTTTCATGAATTCGCCAAATCAACAGGAGAAGCTGTTATCAGTACTTGTGGTCTTGAATTTAGACTATAGGATTTCTCTTAAAATGACAAGAGAGTGGAAGAGATTGAGAGAGATGATTGATAATCAAAACTTAATTTCAATGTAAGTATTATTTTGACAGGAATCTGTAAGTGAAGTCTAAAAAGTCAATCTTACTGAATATTCTTTCCATAACCTTGTTCTCACTGTAATTAAATAAGGCTTGTTGTATACTTGAAAGTTTCCTTTTAAATTTGCAGCATAAAAACAGATCTGTGCCTCCAGAGCATAGATTGCTTTCAAAAGGAGTAAAATTACACGGCGGTTTATTTTGTATATATGTTGGGAATGTTTGCAGTTTTCACAATCTTACGTTGGTAAACTTGCATCTTTCAGCGGGAGAAGCAGGTTCAGCTGACACAGTACGTGACCCTAGAGGCTTTGCAATGAAGTTCTATACAGAGGATGGCAACTGGGACCTTGTGGGGAACAACACTCCCATTTTCTTTATTAGAGATGCAATGCTGGTAGGTTGGATCTTCAGGTTTTCATTTTTCTGAGTAAAAGGAGTCCATGAGTGGTGAAGAAAAAGGCCAACAAACATGAAATACAGACTAACTGGCTTTGTTCTTTATTTAAGACTTAATTATGAAATGAAATTACAGTACCTATGCTGGAAAATATAACATCAAGTGCCTCCTGTTTTTGCATCATAACTGTTATTTTTGTCCAGGTGTTTCCTGGTTTTTGGGTTTAATGTAGAGATTGCCTTTAGGCATTTCATCCCGGTTCAATTGTTCTATAAATGTGAATCTTAAATCCATGATACTTAAATAGAACTTTTTTGTGTCTTCTTATTTTGGTTGTTTCCCACTTACACTGATTTTGAATATAGCAATTGAAGACTTTTATTTGTAGTTGGGCTCAAATATATGATTGTATTCCTTTCATAATTTATTCCTAGCCTGTTGAGGACCTACTGTAAGAAGTTAACACTGAACATTGTGTGCAGAGAAAATGTCATGAAAGCTACTTTAGGTCAAATATAGTTTAATATACCAGAGTGCCATATCATCTCTCAAAGTTGGTAAAACTAGCAGTAACTAGGCAGCTACAAACTTGCGCTCTTCAGTGCTTTCGTGATGATTGTGCAGAAACATTCATTTGTTATTTAAATTAGTTTTCTGCTTTCAAGATTGATACTTCTGTAATTGGCAGAGTAGATTTTAAAATGTTGATTCATGGGTTTTGAATTGCAGGTACATGTTTAAGTCAATTCTGTGTAAATACAAAAGGATGTGTACTAGACCTAATTTTAATATAAGAACTCATTAATTTAATTATTTATTTGTGTTCTGTTTTTCTTAGTTTCCATCCTTTATCCATAGCCAAAAGAGGAACCCGCAGACTCACCTGAAAGATCCAGACATGGTGTGGGACTTCTGGAGTCTCCGCCCCGAGTCTCTGCACCAGGTAGGGTCTACCCTATTTAAAGTCTCTGGAGCCTTTTTCTTTTCTTTTCTTTGCATGATGAATCACCCTTCCTCTTTAATCTACCTGTACTTCTTCAGGGAGCTTAGGATAAAAAGAAGAGATTCAAAACTTTGAGTAAAAAAGACCAGTTTTCTTCTTCTTTGAGATCTACTCTTCTCTTTCACTCCTGTTTTAACTTGGAGAAAGACAGCAGAAATGGAGTGAAAGCATTTTTTTTCCTGTTTGCATGGCATGCTCTTAAAATTGTGATCACAAGGTAAGTCTTGTGATTTAAGTTCACAACTTAGCTCCGTTTGATTACTAGAATTCTTGTAAAAATGATAGACTGCTGCCTGGATGTTGACCTCATTCAGTAATGTTCTTAGGCAAGTGTGCATACTCATGATTGCTGTTCTGAGATCTTGAATATTCATTCTTGTTCTGCCAATTCAAAGCACATCAATTGTGCATTGTTTCCTTTTTCTAGGAGCTTATAGTGCAGAAGAAACTTCACCCCATACATTCCTGCTCTACTTCTTTCAGTTTTAAAAAAGGATAAATTCCTGGGGCAGAGAGATGGAAAATGGTGCCCAGGTTTGCTTGCAGACTCTGGGTTTGTATTAAGCTATTGCAAGTAAAATCATGAGTCCTGCACATACATAAAGCTCAGCACAGTGCTGCCAAATGTGAAGAACACAATCTAACACTTCTTTCCTGGCAAAGGTTGTCTTTTGTGTTTGTTTCTGCTTTGCTTTTAGGATATCTTTTTACGGAATTGAAAAGCAAAGGGAAAAACTTCATATAACTGGTAAAAGCAGTAGAAATGCAACATAACATAAAACTATAGCTTTCTTTATTGAGTCATTCTGTCTCATGTTATGTCTGCCTCTTTCCTTGTTGCCTTCAACTTTTCCTGTCTTTTCTAGGGAGTCTTTTTGTGGTATCTCTGAACTGTGGTAGCCTCTGTTTAGTCATTTCCACTTTTAGTAAGACCAGAGGATTGATTTCATCTCCTGTCCACTTATTGAGACCATAAAGCTCTTCATCAGCACTATGTTTTGAATGAATACTTTTTTCCTTATCATCTTTCTTCAGTGTTCATCTTCCACATCTGCATATAGTAATCTGAAGTACTATGCATATGGATGGTCTTGGTCTTCAGTGACACAGCTGCTCTTCCCAGTCTCAGTCTTCTGATTACTTGCTTGTAGTCTCCATTTTGGTTGATGATTGAACCAGTATATAAAGGATCTTCAAACATTTCTGTATCTTTTTTGTGAACTGTAAAGTTATGCAATTCCTCTGTTGTCATTTTTGTCTTAATGCTCAGCTGTAATCATGCTTCGGCACTTTTTTCTTTCACTTTCAGCAGAAATCCTTTCAAGTCACTGTTGCTTTCTGCTGCTAACATGGTATTGTCTGCATGTTGTAAAAAACAGAAGCTTCTTCCATTAAGTTTCATTCCTCCATTGTCTCTGTCTAATCCAGCTGTTTGTATGATATGTTGTGTGTATAGGACATATACAGGTAGATAAAATACACTCTTGTCTTGAGATGTGTACCAGTTGGAAACCATTCAGTTCCTTCAAATTTTATTTTAACAATCACTTTCTGACCCATATACATGTTGTACATTAGTGCAATCAAATGTACTGTCACACATACTTCTTTTAGAATGATCCATAGCTTTTCATGATTCACATAGTCAAAGGATTTACTGTAGTCTATAAAACAGACAAATTTTCTTCTGAAATTCTTATGCACATACACTCCAGTACTACTTAGTGTATGTACACTTAGAATTACAGTAATTCTTGCCAGGGTATCTTAAAGTACTAAAAAAATGGTTTGCCAGCCCTTTCTTTTAGTCACTCTCTGGGATTGTACAGTTTGCCCAAAGCTACATAAATTGGCTCTTCTAGGAGACATATGGAGAACTCCCAATCCCTGGTTTTAAGCCATATTCTCCAGCTCTAGCAAGTAGCCAGCATATAGGTGGAATAAGATATTTAATGTGCCTTCCTTTCTGAATCCTTCATGAGTATCTGGCATTTATAATTCATATATGATAAAAGTCTCTGTGGCAAAATCTTAAGCGTAACTCTGATTGCATAGAAGTTATGCAGTAGCACTGTAGTTATTGAAACGTTTGATACCTCCTTTCTTTAGGATTGGAATGTATATTGAATTTTTCCAAACTGTGGTTAATGCTTAGTTTTCCCTTAGTTTTCCATATTTGTTGGTATATTTATGTTAGGTCTTTGACACATCCAGTCAAACAGCTGTACTGATATTTCATTAACTTCTACTAATTCATTTCTTCTGATTGCTCTGAGAGCAACTCTCACTTCATTTTCTAGAAAACAAGAATACCCTTTGCCTCTCCCAGTTTTTTGTTGACTCTGCCCACCACAAAGATGAAACTTCTAATCACTCTTTTCCTCCTGCTTTTGGAATACGCTTTGGACATAGTAGGATCCTGGCCTGAATTTCATAATGTGTTGTTATTTGTGCAGTTGGTTGTTTCACAGCCTAATGGCCGCAAACAAATGGCTTCATGGGAACATGTTCCATGTTATCACATATGCAAACTCGTAACAAGAATTCTTAAGAAAACAGAAAGGCATTCTTACCTAGTTCATAGCTATCCTGTCCTTTCAGAGGAATTATGTTGAAATCGGGTATTGCACTGTTGCAACAGAATGAAGCATTATGCTGATATCGTGCTAAGAAAAAATATGATTGAAACTTGCTTTTGATCGTACAAGAAAAGTAATAGTTATCATGTGCATGAATAGCTAGTTTTAGTTTCTTGAGATGTCATGGAAGATGATTTTAAATAAAAGATTTTAATAAAGTTTTATTTTTGTTGTTGCTTTGTGTTTAGGTATCATTTCTTTTCAGTGATCGTGGGATTCCAGATGGACACCGTCATATGAATGGTTATGGATCACATACTTTCAAGCTGGTGAATGCTAGTGGAAAAGCAGTGTACTGCAAATTTCATGCAAAGGTAAACTTACAATTTTTTCTGTTCTGGCTTCTCTTTTAAAAACTCAGTGCTTTTTAGCTAGGATTAATGATTGATTAATATCATAGGTTACCTGAAAACTTTATATAACCATGGATTAAACTTTGTCCTGAAAGTTAAAGGTTGAGCCAGAAATGATCCTGGTTTTGGCACAACAGTTCTTAAACTAATTTGGAATGTGCTTGTGTGAATGACTTGAAGATACTCTGTGTAGAGTCCCTCTAGTTTCAGCATTGGTTAAAACAACCAACTAACACCTCTCAAAACAGTTTTTATTATTTAATTTGCTGTAGTAATGTTGTCCTTTGGAAGCTGTATGCTCTGTTACTGGAGTACTATGCCACTGCTTCTGCAGCTACAGTGGCAATTTACTTAAATTTGGAAAACAGCATTGTACAATTAAATGAACTTAATAAAAATATGTTTTTTGTGAATTTAATTACTGGGCCAGGAAATTTTTTTAACCAATTTCTTTTAAAAACCTTCTTGGATAGAGCAGTATACATACCCTATATAACATTGCTTATATCACCGTCACCCTATTATGTGGAATTAAATACTGCTGTATGAATACTGTATTAGAGACAGCTGGAATCTAGCCTTAAAGATGAAATGTGATGCCTGTGCTTCTCTAATTCTCTGCATACAGGCTACTGCAATATTATATGCTCTGTCTTGCTTTAGATCTTTAAATTAAAAGAAGTCTAATTTTGCCAACAGACTTCAGTGATACAGAGCATAGATTAAGAGTTCCATATTTCTTCCTTTAGTAGATCTTAGAATTTTTACATTAATAATTGGATACCAACAGATTAATCTCAATATTTGCAGACAGATCAAGGAATCAAAAACCTACCTGTTGAAGAAGCAGCAAGAATAGCTTCTGAGGACCCTGACTATGGTCTGCGTGATCTTTATAATGCTATTGCAGCTGGAAACTATCCATCTTGGACTTTCTATATTCAGGTTATGACATTTGAACAAGCTGAGAAATTTCAATTCAATCCTTTTGATTTAACTAAGGTAAGTATGTTTTGCACACCTTTCTGGTGTATATTACCATATTTTCCATATATAAGATGCTACTTTTTCCTAAAATTGATAGACTGAAAATTGAGGGTCATCTTAGACATGGAAATAAGCTGAGGATAGAACAAAACGGCCCATACCTTGCTTCTACAAACAAGCTTCCTTCAGTCACAAGGCTTAGCTGCCTCCAATCAGGAGACTTATGTAACTGGCATCAGCTGATGCTGAACAAACCAATTGCAACAGTGCTCAGATGCAACAGGGACTCCTAATGTGCAAGTGTTCTAAGCTCAGCAGCTGAATAAAGTTAAAGTGTGATGCATAATATGACAGTACTGGTACATAAATGTTACCAAGCAAAGCGTGCTGCTTATATACTGCCCCATAGCACTTCAAGCATTCCCTGGGTGGTTTACAAGTTATTTATGCAGGCTACACATTGCCCCCCCCCCAGCAAGCTGGGTACTCATTTTACCGACCTCGGAAGGGTAGAAGGCTGAGTCAACCTTGAGTCGGCTACCTGGGATTGAACCCCAGGTCGTGAGCACAGTTTTAGCTGCAGTACAGCAGTTTAACCACTGTGCCACGAGGATCTACTTAATTACTAAATAAAAATGTGTTCAGTTTTATGTTTAAAATATTGATTTCTTAATTTTGGGTTAGAAAAGTGGGATGGTGTCTTATACATGGGGGCGTCTTATACACAGAAGACTATGGTACAACACATTGTAGGTATGTTTGCCCAAGAAGTTTGAAAATACTGATTTAAAATATGTACAGCTGCAATAATATATCTGTTATGTATTCTAGGTTTGGCCTCACAAAAATTATCCTCTCATTCCTGTGGGAAAAATTGTCCTAAACAGGAATCCTGTCAACTATTTTGCTGATGTTGAGCAAATGGCCTTTGACCCAAGCAACATGCCCCCCGGGATTGAACCTAGCCCCGATAAAATGTTACAGGTAATCAGTATTGGTCTTTAATACAAATAACATTTTCCTCTAAAGAAAGAAAGCTTTCTTTTGTCTGTAAGCTTTACTTGATGGTGTACAGCAACGTGATTAGTTAATATGATATATAGAACTACTGGATAACTCAGTGGTTTAGGCATCTGGCTGTGGAGTCAGAAGTTGGGAGTTCATTTCCCCACTGTGCCTTCTTAACGGGCTTAACTCAGTGATCCATAGGGTCCCTTCCAACTCTGCAATCCTAAGCTTGCTGTTGTTGTTGCAGTGGTGCCTCGACTTACGACCATTCCTACTTACGACCATTTCGAGTTACGACCAGCTCCTGCTGCAAAATTTTGCTTCAACTTGCGGCCTGAGCTTTCAGTTACGATAAAAAAAAAAAGGCAGGGGGAACGGGCGGGAAATTCAAATTACTAACTATTGGTGGTGAAGAGGCTGCTTCTTTGTAGCTCTTTCACCCCAACGGTTAGAGTGAGTGCGATCGGAGGAGGCTTGCGACTGCCTGGTAAGCTAATGTGCTGCTTTTTGCTTTTCAAAAACTGTTCAGGGTGGGTTTCAGCTGGGGGGGGCGTTATGTTTCTGTATTGTTCAACAATAGATTGGAAAACAGGGTCACTGTACTCTGTTTTGGTTAGATATCACCTGGAGGACTATGTCCTGTTCCGTGCATATCAGTTTGAAAAGTAAACAGTATTGCCAAGCTGGAATGTGTCCAAAGGGTGATGATTAAGGTAGTAAAAGATCTGGAAACTCAATCTTGTGAAGAACAGATTAGAGAGTTGGGTATATTTAGCCAGGAGCACTTTGTTATTTAGTTGTTAAGTCGTGTCCAACTCTTCGTGACCCCATGGACCAGAGCATGCCAGGCCCTCCTGTCTTCCACTGCCTCCCAGGGTTTGGTCAAATTGATGGTAGCTTTGATGACCCTGTCAAACCATCTCGTCCTCTTCCGTCCCCTTCTCCTCTTGCCTTCATATTTTCCCAACATCAGGGTCTTTTCCAGGTAGTCTTCTCATGAATGGCCAAAGTATTGGAGCCTCAGCTTCAGGATCTGTCCTTCCAGTGAGCACTCAGAGATATGAGAATGGATAGGTTTGTTCTCCTTGCAGTCCAGGGGACTTTCAAGAGTCTCCTCCAGCACCACAATTCAAAAGCAACCTTTGCTGGTCAGCCTTCTTTATGGTCCAGCTTTCACTTCCATACATCTCTACTGGAAAAAACATAGCTTTGACTATACAGACCTTTGTCGCCAAGGTGATGTCTCTGCTTTTTAAGATGCTGTCTAGGTTTGTCATCATTTTCCTCCCAAGAAACAGGTGTCTTTTAATTTTGTGGCTGCTATCATCATCTGCAGGGATAATGGAGCCCAAGAAAGTCAAATCTGTCACTGCCTCCATATGTTCCCCTTCTATTTGTCAGGAGGTGAAGGGACCAGTGGCCATGATCTTTGTTTTTTTGATGTTGAGCTTCAGACCATTTTTGCACTCTCCTCTATCACCCTCATCAAGAGGTTCTTTAATTCGTCCTCACTTTCTGCCATCAGAGTAGTATTGTCAGCATATCTGAGATTATTGATATTTCTTCCGGCCATCTTAATTCTGGCTTGGGATTCCTCCAGTCCTGCCTTTCACAAGATGTATTCTGCATATAAGTTAAATAAGCAGGGAGACAATATACAGCCTTGTTGTACTCCTTTCCCATTTTTGAACCAATCAGTTGTCCCTTATCCAGTTCTAACTGTTGCTTCCCGTCCCACATACAGATTTCTCTGGAGATAGATAAGGTGGGCAAGCACTCCTGTTTCTTTAAGAACTTGCCATAGTTTGCTGTGGTCAACACAGTCAAAGGCTTTTGCATAGTCAATGAAGCAGAAGTAGATGTTTTTCTGGAACTCTCTGGCTTTCTCCATAATCCAGCGGATGTTAGCATTTTGGTCTCTAGTTCCTCTGCCCCTTTGAAATCCAGCTTGTACTTCTGGGAGTTCTCGGTCCACATAACGCTGAAGCCTGCCTTGGAGGATTTTGAGCATAACCTTGCTAGCATGTGAAATAAGTGCAATTGTTTTACTACCTCTTAGAGCCAGAGCATTAAGAGGTGGTAAAACAGGCATCTTTAAACATCTCAAAACCTGTCATAGGGAATATTGAGCAAGATTTTTTTTTCTTCTGCTACTCCAGAGTTTAGGATCCAAAGTGGTTTCATGTTACGAAAGAGAGATTCTGAATAGATGTTAGAGATATGAGTAAATTTCTGATAGCTGTTTGCAAAATGCATCAGAAGGTGGTGGATTCTCCTTTGTTAGAAGTTTTTAGACAGAGGTCTCATCTGTCAAGGATGTTTTAGCTGTGCAGTAATAGGGGTTTGCACAAGACAATCCTCAGGGTTAGTTCCACCACTACAGTTCTATTATTCTCTGATTCCATGATCATTTGATTGACTACACTGGTTTCTATTGTGTGAAACAGAGTATTGGATGTAGGTGTTTTATCTAGTGCAGGTAATGAGACTTTTTGTGAAGCTTCAGCTTTCCCCTCAATAGGTTGTGAAAGAACCAAGCTTTGAGAATGGATGCTTAAACTGTGCTTTGTAGATAGCTTTGAACACTCTGCTAGTAGTGGAAACAAAGGTTACCCATTCTTATTCTTGTTCCTGTAATATATTATTCCAGGGTCGTCTTTTTTCTTATCCTGATACTCATAGACACCGTCTGGGTCCCAACTATCTTCAGATTCCTGTGAATTGTCCATACCGAGCTCGAATTGCCAACTACCAGAGAGATGGGTTTATGTGTGTGTCTGACAACCAAGGTAATTATGAAGTCTCTTGAAAGTACTTTTCGATGTGGGGAGGGAAGAGTGAACCAATTGCAGGAGGATTTTTTTTCACTTGCAAGTCAGATTTTATTACTTTAAATTTTTGATATATTTCTTCATGTTGTTGTGTCAACTGTATGAACATAGATTCCCCCCTTTCTTTTAAAGCAGAATTGGAGATAGTTGATGTGTAGTTTAATTAAATTTCATTACCGTCTTTAATTAATTTGATGGCATGTAACAATAATGTTTATAGTGAAACAAAGAAATAGTACATGGGCCCTTAATGTGCCATAAATAGTCATAGTGACTTCAGTCGTTTGGAGACAAAATTTAACTGGAAAAAAATACCAAACCTTGTTTGTGTGTGTGTGTGTGTGCGTGTGTGTGCAGGGGGGGGGGGGCTGAACACCAAACACCTGAAATCATGCCAGTTTAACTCTACAGCTTTAGAAAAATTTTGTAAACTAAAATGTGGCTCCAAATCAAGAGATCATAAAATTAAAGTAGTTGATCTTTCTTGAACATTCTGTTAGATTGTAGTTAGGTAAATAGTATCCGTAAGGATATAGTGAAAAGAAATACTAATAAACAGATTAATTAATGTTTCTTGATATGAAACAGCTTCAGCAGTAACAGGAATCAAGCTCCTAATTGGCTGTCATGTCTAGGACTGAAACCAGGTAACGATAATAATAAAACCTGGACTGAGAGAATTTTGTTCCATCTTTCCTAGGGGAATGATGATTTCAGTAAACTATAGGCATACATTTATAAATATAAATAGTTTACAGTGGGGTACAGTCAAACTATTTCAGATTTCCTTTCATATCGTGAGCCTCGTGGCGCAGTGTTTAAGCTGCTGTACTTCAGCCAAAACTGTGTTCATGACCTGGGGTTCAATCCCAGGTAACCAGCTCCAGGTTGACTCAGCCTTCTGTCCTTCCGAGGTCGGTAAAATGAGTACCCAGCTTGCGGGGGGGGGCAGGGGGCAATGTGTAGCCTGCATGAATAACTTGTAAACTGCCCAGAGAATGCTTGAAGCACTATGGGGTGGTATATAAGCAGCATGCTTTGCTTTTATCATCATTATGGGCATCCTTTTTTTGTTTTTTGTGTTTTGCTGTTTATTTGGATTCCCAGAATTTCCCGAGCAACCCCCAGGTATAATTCTGGTGATTCCAGCCCGTCAAAACACACATGAAATTTGCTTTCCTGAAGCAAGGCCGACCAGTGTGGCCCCATGCCCTTACTGCTCTTGCTTCTTCTTGTTAATATTTTAAAAGAGGAAGCTGCTGTAGTGGTTCTTGGGAGTCATATTTCTTCACTATTGTCTCTGTGAATCACACATTGGGTCCTCTTCATGCTTGTGCAATAAACTTCAGAAACCTCTAGAGCAGTGGTTTCTAATCTTTTTTTGAGTCATGACCCCCTTTTATAATAGTCAAGTAACCTGCATCCCCCCATGCTTGCATAAAAAGTCAGGAGGATTGCTAGAAGGGCGCATGCTGGCTAGGGAGAGAGGGTGGAGCTTCTGGTGTCACTAAACTCTAGAAGTTTCCAAGGGTTATCAGGCAAGCATGACAAGAAGCCATGTGAATCGTGGTTGATCACTTTGAAAATACAATTACAGGTAAGTAACTTGCCCTTCTTTGGAAAGTGCCCACTGTAGAGCCTAGTGTGGGGGGCTACAGCTCCCAAGAAGGACTAGAGCAACAGGAAGGCTGCAGAGATCACGCTGACCTCCAGGTGAGCAAATGTCAAAGTTTGTGGGTGGATGTTTTATGAGCTGGAATTCTGCTTGGGGATTAAGAAAAACTGAACAAAACAACATAACTCTAATAAATTATTTTATCCTCCTACCCACTCCTAATCAAACATTGTAATGTATTCTAATTATTTGTAGGTGGTGCCCCAAATTATTATCCAAACAGTTTTACTGGCCCTGAGGACCAACCCATTTTGAAGGAGAGTCGTGTAAATATTTCAGGTGATGTTCAGCGCTTCAATAGCGGAAATGAGGATAATGTGTCTCAGGTGAGTAGAGCAGAAACAGCCAGTGATCTTATTTTGGAAAGGAGATACACATGTGAAGTTTTATATTGGTGAATTGAACATGAATTATATGCCATAGCTGCCAAATATGTGCCCTGAAAGCAGACTGAAAATAGTTTTTATATATATTTTTATGTCCTGCAATAACTAAGGTGTGACTTCTTTTAGCCATTTTTGCACTCCCCTTTTCTCATCACATCGAGGACAGTGAACACATTCAGTTGTCCCCTGGACAATGACAGAAACTGCCCTGAAAGCAGACTGAAAATAGTTTTTTTATATATTTTATGTCCTGCAATAACTAAGTTGTGACTTCTTTTGGCCATTTTTGCACTGCCCTTTTCTCATCACGTCTAGCCATGTGAGGACTGTAAACACATTTGATTGTCCCCTGGACAATGACAGAAAGTGGACTATGACTTAAATGTTGGCTAACCTTTCCACTCCAGAAGCATTGTTAGATTGCTTCTGAATCTCTCAGAGAAAGCTCTGGTATTATGGTGTGGTATAGAAGTTGAAACGACAACAACAAGAATAGATGTTCTTTAAAGATGTTGCTTATAACTAGTTGCTTCCTGTCTTTAACAAAAAGAGTTATGGGCAACTCTAGTCCCACTGCATTTTTTTAAATGAAAAATCACATCTGGAGATACCATTTACATAAGTACAAGCACATGTTTTAATAGCCTCTTGTTCAAGTTTGGGGCCTTACTGAAAATAGTGGCACTATGTAGGCATGCACTTTAAACTCCTTTACATTGATTTTTTTGGGCCATTGTTGCAAAACAATTGGGACTTTCCAGATTCTAAACCAGCGACCCAGGTCCTGTGATGAGTCTAATGACCATTCCTTTCATTGCCATTTTTATAATAATGGGTTAGGGTAGCACATGAGATACTCTTTCAGTTGTAGTTTTTATTCTGATTTTAACATATTTTAGACTGCAAAGCAGCATAGATAGAACAGTAATGGGACAAATGTTCCTCTTCAACATTATTTAAAGGTGCGAGATTTCTATACCAAAGTCCTGACAAAGGAAGAGCGTGAGAGGCTGTGTGAGAACATTGCCAGCCATCTGAAAGATGCTCAGCTTTTCATTCAGAAGAAAGCTGTAAGTAGTAAATTGCTACATTCACTGACATATGGTCTATGACTTATATGTATGACAATTCCTATGATTATTTTAGAAGAACATTCTAAATCCTATTTAGATGCATGAAAATATAAAATGGAAATGGTTAAGAACATGCAGGTAAACAAAAGCTAAAAGTACAGTGGTGCCCTGCTTGACAACGATAATGTGTTCCAGGCAAATCGCTCTTAAGCGAAATCGTCATCAAGTGAAAAAAAAACCCCATAGATGCATTGAAAACCGGTCAATGCGTTCCAGTGGGGGAAATACTTGCTCGTCCAGCAAAGATCCTCCATAGGGGAAGCCATTTTGCATCGCTGTTTTCCGGAAATAGGTCCGGAAAACAGTGGGGAGCCATTTTGAAAACCTGACAATCAGCTGCTTTTAATCATCGTAATGCGAAAAACTGGTTCCCGAAGCAGGGAACTGATCATCCTAAAACGAAAAAAAACCCATTGAATCATCGTTTTGCGATCGCTATAGCGATTGCAAAAACCTCATCGTCAAGCGATTTCATCATCAAACAGGGTAATCGTCAAGCAGGGCACCACTGTATTCAAGATGTAAAGGTCTGAGCTTATTTTGAAACATTCTATCCTTATATCCTCACAAGAGAAATAAACCTCTCATGAAAGGGAAAGATTCTGTCAATTGAAAGGATACATATTCAGTAACCATGACTTACTTGCATGCTTCTGTTGCCCACAAAGAAATACTGGAGTCGTAGGCCTGTGATAACTGAATTTTTACTTTTTAATTTGATATTGGTAGTTTGAACTTGATTCAACTGCAGTCATGAGCTTTTAAATACATTGAGTACATTGGCCAAAATCCTATTTGTTATTTACACCAGAGTAAGTACATTGTTGTAAATTTCCACATGTTGGCATTTGACAAAGGAATACGAGTGAGTATTAAATATTATTTAATAAGTGGCAGTTCACCTTTGTATTTACACCATTGCAGTTACACCTACATATTTAACTAATATACTTGTTATCAATGGCATTTAACTTCTAAGTCAACTTTCTTCAGATTATTCTATGCGATTAATACAAAACATGGCATTAAAATACAGTACAAAATGTAAACTGTCAAATCGTGGATCGGTTCAGCTCTAGAATCACTTAAATGTATGTGTCTGCTACAGATTCCTTCAGGTAGGAGGCAGAATCAGTTGCAAGGTAGTTTATTCGGCCGTACTCTCTTACAGTAAGATCTAGGTATATTTAGGACCCACTTGGTTCCATGTTTGGTGCATCATAAAAAGCCTGTGAGAAATATATGTCGCATGTTCCATACATGACGTAGAGTTGGTACAATAGTTAGAAGTGAAAAAGACCTAATTCTTTGTTTCAACTTCCTTTGCCAATCTAGGTGAAGAACTTCACTGATGTCCACCCTGATTATGGTGCGTGCATTCAAGCCCACTTGGACAGCTACAATGCTGAAGGAAGCAAGAAGGTATAAGAGCATTTTCAACTCAAATTGCTCTGTAATGCATGGGAACAAAACAGATGTGACTGTTAGGCAGTTCAGCTGTAAATTGCTATAGAAAGTGGGCAGTCAGGAAGAGATGGATTTGCATGTGGCAGGAGTTTACCCTCCAGTCAAATAGAGCAGTGCTAATTAAAAGTACAATATTTATGCAAAGTTACATGGACATGCACATGAACTGCTTTTCAGAAAAGAGATTGTTTGGCTTGGGAGCCTTTACAGTTTATGGCTATGTGTGGCAGTTCATCAAATTGTAGCTCTCCACAGCCAGTAAGAAGCCTCAGCAATATGGCCTTTCCTGTTGAGCTTTACATCCAAACACTGTGTTTGTGAATGTCCACTATCTTATACAGCCTAGACATTAAAGCACAGCCAAGGCAATTTTCCTGGGCTCTTACAAACCTGCCTGCTGTTGAGTCAGCAGCCTCACAACCTTGAACAACAACCTCTTTCTTTCTTCAAGTGTTTTGTTTTGTTTTAGTGAGGTGTGTGGGGGGAAGGATGATGGAACAGAGGAGAGTGGGAAAATTGGGCTGCCTGATGTAGATGTCACACATTTCTGAAAGCCAGACTTCTGGATTGATATTTGGGCCTGATTAAGCAGCGGATCATCCAGTTTTTAAATGGATTTTTATTCTACACTCCTTAATAATTCCCCAGCATTAGGTATCTTAAAATGAAACACAAATTAAAAAGAAAAAAAAGACAAAGACATTGCAACAATGATTAGTGGCTAAAACAAACTTCAAAGGTAAAACCAATAACTTATTACCATATGTTGTTGCTATAACCTGGGGTTCCTTTGCTGTTTACATAACAAAGCTACAAGAGAAAAGAGCTGTGTACCAAACAGGGGCCTTGTCTTAACTACACCAGAGCACAGAGTGCTGTCCTCTGAAGATGCTGGCCACAGAGACTGGCGAAACGTTAGGAAGGACAACCATCAGAACACGGCCAAAGAGCCCGAAAAACCCACAACAACCAGGGGTCTTAAATCATCACTAGGTGTGGAATGTCACACAACTTGAATCAATCGACCACCATTGTCTCTTGATCTTAGAGCCATGTATGGATGTTTTGCCATGTAGTCTCTGTATTCTCACTCTTATGTCTGAAGACAAAAATACAGTATATCCGTCTTTATAGTGCCAGAACATCTTTGCTTTCTTTATATTTTTTTATTTTGTTTTATTTTGTGTTTCTTGTTGATACGCTTGCAGAGACTAACATGGCTACCATTCCAATAGCTAGAAATCTTAAGTTTCTCCTTTGAATGGGTTGCAAATTTCACTGTTACTCAGTTTTCTTATAAGAAAATGTCTTCAAGAGGAAATGTATTTTCTTTCAATTCTTTGCACAGATTTCTTGAAGACATAAACTCCATTGCTGTAAAAGTGTCTATGTTTGTTCTAGTCGTAATTTATTTTTAATTTACTTTCTCTTACTTCTAGGGTTGTATTCATACCTACAGCGAGGCTGGAAAAGAAAGATCTCATTTGTAGATCACATGATCTATGATTACTTTTCCTAATTGAAGCAGCTTTATCACACAGAATTCACATCCGTCCATCTGGAAAATGATCTCTGGAAAGCCTTAATGAACAATTTCATATTTTAAAGAATTATCTTTTAGGTTAATAGTTGTAATGCAAAATATTAAAGTTCGCATTTGTGATTAAAAATAATCTCAGTGATAACCTTCTCAGCTGAATTTATGCTAGCAATAACCTTTAAATGGTCTATCTGAAGTTTATAACTACAATAATCTTTGTCAGCCTTTGGAACTTAATCAGATTTTCCTTCATGTTTTACTCTAAAGTTTATTGCACTTATTTAGCCAGATGAACCTCTTTAATGATCGAATGATTCGTATCTTGGAGATCCAGCAAGTATTGTAGAGATACTAACACTTTTAAAACCTCAAAATTAAATGCTTGCATACTATCAAAAGTGCAACTGCCTTTTGATTTAAAAGCATTGATCTGAATTACATATTACATTTGAGCATCATTCATAAAATGTTGTGGGCAAGGCAACGTAATTAGATTATTTTGTACTGGTGCTACAATTGTAGAGATTATAGCAGAAAATTTGAAACAGTGGATTTGAAAATTTACATTGGGTCAGATTTATAATACTTCCACTAAAATAAAATTCTGTAATAAAATGTACTTCGTGTTTGTTTTCTTCTGTTTCAGAAGTTAACATAGTTTAGTAACCCTGTATTTCTTGTTAGGCCACGTTTCCTGGGCCAGTCCACATGTGTGATGGGACTGCCAAGTTCATATGTTCTCCAACTTCACAAAGTGTGTTGGTGGTGGCCTCCTTCAGTAACAAAAAGTATATGCAGTGAAAAGTGCTAAATTCTTCTCTCCCATAACTGACTTTATCACAGTATATGCAGTGAAAAGTGCTAAATTCTTCCCTCCCGTAACTGACTTTATCACAATCAATAGTATATTTTCTGACTTGAGTCTGATTCTGAAAGCAAGAAATATATTTTCTGATATACAGTTGCCTATTCACTCCGTTTGGCAATGATGGGGGAGAAAAGTGGCTGGAGTAACAACCCCATGCAGATTTGACACTTGAAAATAAAAGTAATAAATATATATATGACATAAAAATTTATAAGTATATATACTTCCACATGAAGCCCCTTACACAAGGTATTACATACAATGTTACATACAGTACAGTATATGTTATATTGGAATACATTAAGGTAAAGATTACGGTGATATGCAAAAATATGGAGCATAGTTTATAATATGGAGCATTTTTCATTGGCATGTTAATTACATCAGGAATTTTCTGGCAAAGACATAAAACTGCATTTTAGTTAATCCTTTTCTTGGTGTGTAACTTGGTGTGTGTGCTTTAGGCAGAAAAAGGCACCACAATATATACTATTTGAGTAAGATAAATTATTTAAAACATTTGATTTTAATGAATTTTAATATTTCCATTTGGTGACTTTAAGCTCACATTACGTCATTAATTTCTCCTACATTCCCTGTGTTTAATCAGATACATTTATGTCTGCATATGAGATTTGTCCTGGAGCTTTTTTATGTCCCATCCCTAATATGCAAAATCACATTCACATGGGGTTCCTGCATTCAGAGACTAATCTTTAGAAAGTTAGTTTGTAATTGTCCTCCTTGGGTTTTCCCCATAACACTACTTTTTAGATTGTATTTTAATGTGGAGATTATTGAAAGGTGCTAAGGAAGAATCTTCTCTTATTTGCTCATAAAATTTGCTATATGGACATGTAACACAACACAACTAGAACGAGTTGGAATTTTTAGCATGCATACATTACTGAAAAAGTGATGTCTACGTTGGCTCGGTCATGTCATGAGAATGGCTGATGGTCAGATTCTAAAAGATCTCCTGTATAGTGAATTAGTGCAGGGAAAGTACCCTGCAGGGAGACCACAGCTGTGATACAAGGATATCTGCAAGTGGGAAACCTGAAGGCAGGCATTGCAGCATGGCCTCTCCCAATTTGAAGAGACACTTGTCCAGCAGGCTGAGACAAAGAGGCAGTCCTGAAACCGGCAAAATCAGGGAGCTGGACAGGGGACAGACTGTATTTGTCTTCGGTGTGGGACTGTCACTCTCGAATTGGCCTTCTCAGTCACGCTAGACGCTGTTCCAAGTCCTCTATTCAGAGCACGTTACCATAGTCTCTCGGGACTGAAGGATGCCTAATCTAACAACACAACCCAGAAACAAAGATTCCTTTGGAGAGAATGTATGGCCATGATGAGTTATAAGATGCCTGAATTGTGATGGCATTAGGTAAACCCCATTGAGGAGGCTTGAGCCTCACTATGACAAATGATAGAATAGTTAAGTTTGTATTGAAACAAAATATTGGGAGGGGAAGTGTCTTAAAAGATGTGCTCCGCAGCACACCTCACTAATAATTTTTGAAAGGGCAATCGTAGTGGACCATTATAACAAACACAACAAAGAACCTTGGGACAAAGCAAAGCACCTTCTGTATCACAGCCAAAGAAAGAGAAATCTGGAAACTCCTTAAGCTCCTGAGGAGCCAAGCTCATACTTCAATCCCTTCCAGCGTGGCAGCTGCTAAACTAGTACAGGGAGTTTTATATGGAGCTGGAACCTTATGTGAGCTCCACACTCAGTTCAAAATGTGGATTGGTTAATATTAAAAAATACTGGAGAGTGTCAAGTATATCTGACACTTCAGTGTCTTGGTCAGGAGGAACAATGCCCTTAGCTGTCCATCTCCTGCCTAGGACTGTCCTTTTTCTAGAGGGGCCCTTCATCCTATTCAACCAATCTTATGCATGTTTATTGGGTTGACTGCTGGCACCTACTGGTTATTCACTCTTAACTGGGAAGGCTGTGGGCTCTTGGGGTATACCCGATGACATTGCTGGTGCCCTGTTGTCTTGGCTCAGAGCAAATTACACATCTTCAGAATTCCGGTGGGTTATGCTCGAAAGCACTTGTTTCTTTGAAGGGGAAGACTAAGAAGGAATATTTACTGACCAGAGAAGACAGGCAAATCTTAAACATTGATGAGGCTTGTTGGACAAGGGTAATACTGGAGACCATTCCAACTGCGTAACAGATGGAGCAGCCAGGCCATTAGCTGTAAAAGGAGTATAGTGAGAATCACCATGTATTTTCATGCTTCCTCTCTTTCCAGAACAGAATATTTAAGCTTCTCCTTAGAAGTCTTCTGCACTTAGTGCAGCTGTAGCAGTATACACTGCGGCACTGTGACACAGAGGGATGAACAGTGTGGTTACATGAAGCACACAGGATCCTTGATTTAAAACCTTTTTTTCATGCAAAAGATGAGGGGAAATAAACACACTAGCTCAATGGCTGACCCTCAATCCTGTCTAAACTCACAGGAACAGGTGGAAATTCTCTGCCTGTGTGGCTCCCTCTCCACCTGTCTCTCCTCAGCTACTTTCTGTGAAAGCTTAAGAAAAACCTCTTGTATAAATTGCATGAAGTGGGGCCAGGACAAGTCCAGAAGGGGGGAAGAGCACGAGAATTTTAGACACACAAAGTACACAAAACACTTAAAAAAAATAAAACCCTTTTCATGTTGCAAGAAAAGGGAACATGGGCACAAATGATGTCAGAATTTGGGTTTCAGCCCCTCTCGCATGCACAGATACTGTGCTACTTTCAGATTATATGAGGGGGGGAAAGCTACCCTGGTTCTCTTTATCAGAAGGATTAGTTTATAACACCCTAAACAGATAGGTAGATGTTCTTGTCGAGAACCTGGACAAGCAGGGAAACTTTAGGATAGTTATTCCATGTGGACAAATGGCCAGAAGGGAAAGTCAAGTACTGCTGCTCTTCCTGTTTCCAGTTTTCTATCATTCTGTCTCCCACATTGCTTCTTGGTTCAAAACAAAACCTGCTAATGCAACGTTGAAAGAGCACGTGCTTAGGCGACTTTCCTTGTGGATACTTGATCATGTCATGATGATGATCCATGGAACCTTTTGTTTGAACTCATATAGCATAACGCTGTGGAAATCTTCCAGTGAAATTTATTTAAATCTGGGCTTCAAATTGACAAAATGCAAGTTAATCATATGAGACAGAGAGCAGTGTTTGAAACACAGTGGGTTAAAGGTTTGACCGATAAGAAGGTTCTTGGCTCTGCACAGTAACATGGTGAATTAGTGATTTATGGATCATTACACAATGATCACAAAGTCCTTGCAATTTCATGCCAGGACATTTTTGTTTTTATTTGCCAGATAAGATGTGGCAACAGTATCTTATCAGCTGAAAAACAACGCTTGCCCATTATTGGACTTGATGGCCTTGTAGGCCTGTTCAAACTTCACTTTTCTATGATTTTCTATGAACCATTGAAATATTACCGTTTTTTTTTCCAGGATTGCTATGGTACATGCACATTTAACTCAAATCATTCTTATGTAGTATAGAGTTACCATGGACTGGTAACCCTATACTGCACAAGCTGAAGCCATTCCCTGATGACTGAGCTAAAGAAAGCCTGGAAAAATGTGTTTCGTGCAATCCACATGTTTGCAGAGAGGAGTGGGTGCTTCACTAGAAAGAGAGATAAATCTGCATGTCATCTTACCTTCCATGATAAAGCAATGGTAGGGATTCATGACTGTGTAGTGATATTCTGCCTACTGTACTACACTGAAGGCAGCCTCCATAAAAGCAGGAATCATTATGCAGCTGCTATGGCTTGCACAGTTTCACTCTGCTGAGGTCTATACGTGGTAACACGTTCCTCAAACTCCTAGTTTTTGCCTGTCTTCTAACCAGAGAAAGGTATTTTCTAAAGAAAAAAAGTCCACAATCTCTACTAAACAGTAGTGGCTGTATTTGTTTGAAACAAATACTAAACTAAATGCCATAGTGTTCTGACCTAATATGCTAAAGTAATAAATGCATATTTTAAATTGTAGTGGAGGGGTAAGGAAGTGCTTTCCAGTCATCACAGTTTTAACAAGGCGGTTTGGTGCGCAGCGGTGATCTTGCCATAAGTGGTGAGAGCTTTGGAAGCTATACATTTTTATTCAAATTATAGGGTTATAGTATAATAACCCATAATGCTGCTACTTTTGAAAGATCATAGAACCTATTCTGTGTCTCTCCTCAAGTGGAAGGGCAATGGTTCTTTTGTAGTGGTAATAACACT